CTCCGCTGCGCTGCGCTCCCGCCCCGCGGTGCGGAGGCGCTTGCTACTTTTGCCGGGATCTGGTGCTTCAAGGAGCCGGAGCTCGCCAGGCAGCCGTAAATCAACTCATGCAGAAAAAGGAGAAAAGTTTCGGTAAGGTCGCAGTCTCATGTTTTAGTTCGCACTGAGCAGAACCCGTGCGCTTTAAGGTAGGGCTTAGGGAAGGAAGCTTATTTCTCTTTCCTCTTCGACACTAAACGCGTAGCGAGCGGGTGTGTGTGCGCGCGTGGGCGCTGAGAGACCCCAAATATTGCTTCCTAGGACAGCTTTGTAGGACTGCTGTTTAAAGCAATTAATCTTGCGAGGTGCAACAAATATTGCTACATTCTTTTTCTGCCACCTCCCTCGCCCGTCTTCTCCCCATCACCCCATCCCTGCGATGCTTGAAAGGGAATTAGCACAAAAGGCTTGAGCGTCTAACTCCAAAAGGGATTCTTTGTTGCAGAGTGTATGTTTCTTATTTATTTTTTTATTTTGCATGTGAGCTGCATCAAAATTGAACTCAGTCTTGCAAATCTCTTGTTGGCCTTTGCCAAGCACTAGCACTTTGCTGCCATGGTAACTGTAATTAAACTGATAAGAGTGGAAAAATGTCAGTATCTCTGAGCCTTGCAGCTGCATTGGAGAAAAAGGGAATCAAATTGGTTCCCAGCACCACTGCTCTAAAAAAAGGAGGGAGGGAGTGGTGGGGGGGGTACGACAGGGATAGGAACATAGCTAAGCAGCTCCAGTCCCTGAGATCTGGGTACATCTATTTGCTGTGTTGTCCCTTAGGGGGCTACAGCCTGCAGGGATGCTCTGGGCCAGTGAACAGAGAGAAACAAGCTTTTAGGCCCAATCTAGCTTTCAAAAAGAGAAGGGGAAAGAAGAAGAGAAATCTTTTGTTTGGTGTCTCTTGGCAATCGACTAGCCATGTTGGCCAAATTCTTTTAATCTGTATCACTGCTCCCAGCTGTGGGACTGCATTCCTTTTTTTTTTTGTATTTTTCTTTTTTTTTAGTTTTTAACTAGTCTCTTCCTTTTTTCCCTTCACAAACCATGCCCTAAAGAAAAGAAAAAAAAATCAGATCCCTCTGTAGAAGGGACAGGAGGTGAAGTTTAGTTATTTACTATGGGAAAATTAACTCAAAAGTATACAAAAGAGTCTATATTCAGAGTACTAAAAACCTTACTTTTAAATTTTTTTGAAAAAACAGTGTGTTATGGAGTTGCGGTTACTTTGTTGTGTTAACTACAGAAGCTGAGACTGTGCGGATGAATGGCACAGAACAAGAGAGCATAATGGAGGCAATCAACCGTTAGGCTGGTTCACAATGCAATCCAGGCAATTAAAAGCTCACCAGAGTTTAAATGAAATGGTTCTACTTATTTCTGTGCACCACACTGCACAGGCTATTATTTATGTCTCTTTTTTTAATTATGATTTCCCTTAAACTGTCAAATAACTCAGAATAGCAGGGTCTCGGAGGCAATAAGAATTTTCCACAGAACAATTTACATGCCAATCTAAAACTAGTTACGACTCCTGATGTGCTACATGCAAGCTCTGAAATGTTTCTTAGCTTCTGAAACCTTAACTTTTTTTTTTTTAAGTCTATGGTCTGTATTGTCCTTCATAATTGGAGTACTGAATGCTTTTAGGGTGAAGCTACAAAGTGGGAAAGCATCTGAAAAGTATTCTTTTTATCTTCTGCTGGATCTGTAACTCTCTTGTTGACTGCTTATTGTCTGTCAGTTTGCTGTGTTCCAGAGATCAGTGCACTGATACTTAATTTGCTCCAAACTGATTTTTATTTTTTTAAAGTAGAGGCAAGTTTCCCCTTTCTTGCGGTACATCTTACTGTCCTTGGTAGGAACTATGTGCATGCCTCGGTGAGAGGGGTGGGTGGAGAAGGCTGATCTCTAAAACTTTTTAAATGATCCAGTGCATAACAGTATCCACCTTTTCCATTCTTAACATGTCTTTCAAAGACTGTTTCAACTACAAACCAGAAACTGTTCTGAAGGTCTTGTGCAGCACCTACCACAGTCAGGGACCAATCGTGGTCACAGGCAACTAACAAAATGTAGTTCTGTTATGCCAGATCTCCGTTCTCCTGGATTTTGAGAAGAGTGATGATTAGGGTGAAATGTTTTGGGGTTTTTTTTTTTTTTTCTGTCTACCTTTCTTCAGGAGGCTGACTTAGCTTTTTCTTGCAATCTTTCCTCTTTATCCTGAACTTCAGAGTTACAAACTGGTCAACAGTGTTTCATCATGCAACAATAACAAGGAATGGCAGTCAGTTGCATTAAACAACTTTTTCAGGGTGACCAAGAGAAACCTAAAAATCTGTAAATGAGGTTATGAAGATCGCCCTTCAGCAATCCTAAAGCTGGTGGATGGTGATTAAGAAGTCTTATTCCTAACACAGCTCTGCAGGTTGTGTGCAGTGTCTTGGGGAGGGGTAGAGGGAGGAAGTGGAGGAGAAGATAGAGGAAGCCCTTGAAAATGTATTGGGGTGAAATAAGAAGGGTTCATGTGACAGTGACAGACTAGGCTCAGGAATCGCTCAGCTCTGGGAGCAGCCCTGCTCTGTGATGCAGAGCAGGGTAGGACTCCACAGGGCTGAAGGGAAAGCTGGATTTGATGGGGGTTGTTTTTTTGTTTTGGATTTTTTTTTTTTTTACAGCCTGGGTGTAGCACTTATGGAATTGTATATTTTTTGGAAGCGCTCCATGAGCGCTGCCGTCATTTTTGGGGGGGGGGGGGGGGGGGGAGAAGAGGGCAGCCAGGCAGCAGTGCTATGCGCTGCTTCCTGATATTTCAGCGGCAAGCAGTTTGGATGGTTTTGTGGGTGCTGTCAGCCTCTGAAACGGTCCTTCCTGTGTCCTAAGGAATAAATGGGTACTCAAACTGCAGCCTGTGAAAAGCTGGCCAGCAGTGAGCTGCAGGTATTCTTACTGCCAAATTAAGAGAGAGCTAAAAATACACAAGCGCTTATGTGGAAAGTATAGCTGTGCTGGAGATCTTATGGGAACATTAAAGGGAAGAGAGATGGTCTGTGAGGTGATCTGCATTAAGGTGGCTCATGCTACAGAGGGAAAAAGTAAGCAAGTAGTCTGCTCTGAAAATTAAGTGATTTAGTCCAGGACATGTAAAGAAAAGGGCACGTGCAAAGAATTTGGAGATGCATAAAACACTTCTTGGAGCACTGTTTTGTGCTTTGTTGTGTTTAGAGCCCTTTTTATATTTCAAAAATAAATGCAACTTTTTTTTTATACTGAAACAGTAGTTTTGTTACTTTTTCATTAAAGTAGAAGTAGCTTCCTTACCAGCAAAATGAGAAAGGAATGTTTTTCTCTTCAGATCCTTCCCTCCAAAAGCTGCTGCGGATTGAATCCCTAATCTGAAGATGCTGCCAGGGGGATGTCAGAACCACCTTTTTGCTCAGCCTCAACAAAATACATGTGAAGGGTTGTTAACACTACTTCCATGGGGAGCCTGTCCCTTTCCACTTGTCTCTACACGGAGGGTTTGGAAGAGGGGGAAGAGGCTAACCATCTAAACAGTGCTTTGTCTGCTTCCTTAATGTAGCAAACGTCTCAAAAGTGGTGCAGAGGTATTTGTGAGACTGTGCAAGCTGTGGGTTTATTTGTAATGAGATAACCTTGTGTTTGCATCGTATACCTCAGGAGTTGTCAGGCTTGATTATTGCAGTTTGCTCAGATGTTCACTTACTTATTTAGCCTTATTTCTGTTGTGCGTTGTTCACTCCAGAACACACAGGGCAGCAGATCCACCTGGATCAGATGCTGTCAGCCTCCGTTTTCCAACCTGGTTCCTTTATCAGGTGGCAAAATTTTTACATTAAGATTTTTTTTTGGTTTGTTTTGAAGTTCCTAACTGCGTTAGCTCCTAGTTTATCTTGGATTCCCTTAAGCTAAAGATTAAAGCCCTAAAACAGTCCTTCATGCTTTTGGACTTTTTTTTACTGAGTTCCAAGAAGTTGATATAAACTGCAGTCTGTTTTATATGTTTATGCTCTCTATGTGGTCGAAGAGAGGGTCAGGGGATAAGCATGTTGTTGGCTCCTAACAGATATTTATACTTTCCTGTTTTATGCAACTTTAAGATTTTTCTGCTATGTGAAAATGTTAAAGATCCAGCAAGACTTCCCCTTACAGTCGGTTTTAGGTTCTTTACCAAAAATCTCTGATATTTTGACTGTTTTATCCATTTACTTATGGCCATATTAACATGCTGCTTTATGTATGCCCTCTGGATTTAGGGGAGTCAACTGGCGATTAAAAACATTATAGAGGCTCGGCAGTTGTCTTATGGTACTTGCTTAGGATGAGATGTGTGTTCATTTCTAGACCTGCCATAGACTTTCTGGGGAGCCTTGTGGAAGTTGCTGGATCTCGCCTGTGAACCAGAAATGGGCCACACCTGTGAGTGGTGTGGGAGCTACCAGGGTGGTGTTGATTGGAGAGTAGTAGAACGGCAACAATGCTGTTTGTATGCTGATGGATAGAGAAACAAAAACCTTACACGGTTTTGTTGTGAGTTGTAGACGTTACGCAGTAGTAATGCCATGCCACTTCCTAGTGCCCACTAGGAGAACTCCGTCTCTCTATAACTGAATGGTTAATTTAGCAGACAAATAGATTGCTCCAAAATGCATAACGATGCATTGCAAACAGGGAAGCAGGGCTGTTGTAACAGTGTGTCATGATAAGCATTACTTTTTCCAATTCGGTGACTGTCAAGCTTCACAGATGAATCTCGGGAGTTGAGTTTGGTAACCCTGAAAATGTCGTAACTGGCTCTGCAGCCAGTGTGGGCCTCATAAATCCAATGTGCTCTACGTACTCGTATGCTTGCAGATCCCCTGGAAGCCTTAGCTGGTGTAGCATTTAGCCTCTTGTCTTCGTAGTGCTGATATCCATAAAGGCACACCATACCATTGCTTCAAAGATTACACTCGTTTTCCTTATGAGAGGTTTTTTTTAAAAAGCAAAACAAAAAACATTTCATGTTCCAGCTACCTGAGACTGCCTTTCTGTAGTGGTGTGTTTCAGCACCAACTGAGATTTGCTGATAAAAGCTGGGACTGTAAAGCTTTCCTAACAGTAGGTAGTAGAGCATCCGTGATGAGGGGCTCTTGAATTTGCTTTTCTTTGTTACAAGACTCTGTCTGACCTTTCCCAGTGTCTGCTATAAGAGCTGGGTGCCATTCACTAAATTCGGAGGTAGAATTTTCTTGTTAATAAAGGCATTCATTCCCCAGTCTTGAAAAATTCTCATTGTAATGTTAAGATGCACTGTCATGAGTAGCAGGGTTTTTTTTGAAGTTTCATCTCTGATTGGCTTAAAACAGGGAGATAACCTAATAATCAGACTGTGTGTTGGTTTTCTTTCTCTGATGCCTGTTTGATGTACAAGAAGGCATCTGCAGGGCTATGATTTTGCTTCTCTTAAACCAATCCTCTGAAAGTCATTTTTTAAGTGTAATGGGATAACAGTTTATGAGATTAACCAAGAGAGATCAGTCTGTAAGCGCTTTGGAGCAGTGACCTCTTCTCCCCGTTTACTGTAAAACTGAGTGCGATCGACTTTGGTATGATCTTTGGCAGCTGGCCGCGGTGTTCACTGTACAGTCGTTCTCTCATAACTGTGTTGCACTTTCACCAATTCCCTCCCTTGAATAGTAACTCGGAAGTCTGAATGGTTATTTAAACACTCTCTGCCGCTACATCGTAAGGTGTATATACATAATTGACATCACTGTATTCCTCACCCGGAACTAGCACTTGGCTAAATTTGGGATTAAAAAGTGGGAGATGGATTTTTTTTTCTCCTTTAAGTGGTGACAAACTAGTAAGCATTTGACTTTGTACCAATTATTTGAAATCAGATTTTTCAGAAGATCCTTAGACTGAAGGTCGGAAGATGCTGACACTGAAGTATCTGGAAATGTGATTACTTCATTCATGTGTGCAATAAGAACTGAAATCTTAAACAACAAAAACGGCTCTGTTCCTCCCAAAATGTCATGTCAAACCTCCCTGAGTCTCTAATAGTTTCATTCTTTCCATCTCTAGAATCTGGAGTGCTTTTGTATGCTATAAAGATGTAAATAGTTCCAAATACGTAAGTTTAAGTATGCCTGCTGTCACAGGTGCTGTTTAACTCTTCGGTCATTAGATATTAGAAGCGCTGGGCAAAAGTGGATGACTTTTCGACTGAATGTGTCGACTTATATTTTAATTCTTCTAACCATGCTTCTTTTCAGCAAAGAGACCAGGTAAATGAGGCGTTTAAGAGAAGTTGTGGAACTTAGACCAGCGGACGTTTCAGCTCTCAAATTTATCTTAACACTGTTTTCAGCTTGCTCTGGACTATTTAGATTATTTCATTTTATCTACATGATTGCCTTTTTAATGAACTGGGTGCTTATGGGAGTGGAAAAGTGGAGAAAGAAAAGAGCCCGTCTTGGGAGACTGTCTATTTTTCACTCTTCTCTTGTCTTGTTTTATTTCAGGTATACAAATGCTCTCAGTCCAGCCAGACACCAAGCCGAAAGGTTGTGCTGGCTGCAACCGTAAGATTAAAGACCGATATCTTCTAAAGGCCCTGGACAAATACTGGCATGAAGACTGCCTGAAATGTGCCTGCTGTGACTGTCGTTTGGGGGAGGTGGGCTCCACTTTGTACACCAAAGCCAACCTTATCCTTTGTCGCAGGGACTATCTGAGGTAGGCCATGTCCTTCTTACCTTCACCGACAAACTTTGTAATTCTGTTCAGCCTTTATAGTAAGTGTTGCATGAGTGATACTTGATGTCCGTAAGCCAAAGTATTCTGTTTGGAGCATAGGAAAACAAATACTGCGGTGTAGCAATAAATCTAAAATCCAAAAGTCATTTTCGGCGTCCTGACTCAAAAAGCACGTGCAGCCAGGTCTCGCGCACAGTTGCCAGTTTTCTGACTCCAATACCACGGTCTCGTTTTCGGAGAAGAGGAGGAAGAGAATAGAATAAACATGCAGGGTTTCCCGCAGCACTGCATTTCCAGGCATCCGATCTCCTTTTAAACACAGTCTGCCGTTCAGTCATAGCGTCCTAAAACAATAGGGCTCTGTCTGTGTGTGTCTTCAAACCCTGCACTCACGCTGTTTAAACTCTGAAGAGTACTTCATTCTTCTTAGTTTATACGCTATTGTCCTCTGAGTTTGCCAGAAGGATTTCATTTATGGCGCTGGTAGCTCTTATGAATGCTGTCACTTATCTGTTAGAAACTGGACCAAGCTTACTAACTGGTTCTCCCCATGTTAAGTAACTTTGTAGGTATTAGATTTAAATCCACTCTGGTCTTGATTTAACTTGGTGGCCTGGGTGGGACACTACGTAACCTGCTGCCACTTTTCAGAGACGGCAAATTGCCACCTGTTTTTCTACCTTCCCAGGTCCACGACCAAACGAGTTCTTAAGGATATTTGAAGTATAACATGTAGCAAAGTACTGCTGAGAGGTACTGAGCTAGTTTATCTGCAGAGTATGTGTGAATAAATAGGCCTACTTGCAGAAGATTAAATTTAATCTGGGAAGTTTAATCTCCCTAGGCTTTCAATAGTAAATAGAGAAAGAGGCTCCTCTGGGGTGATTCAGAGCACCTATTTCCTATAGGAGCACCTCTCCTCCATTCCCTGTAGAGGAGGCCTAATGAGACTATAGATGCCCTAGGCTAACATGAACTTCTGGGAATATTTCCCCTGCCCTTGTAGTGAAATCTTTCCTTTTTTAAGGGACACTCAAGTCTGTAATACGTCAGGGAAAAATTAACGTTGTTTCTGAACGCGTTAACTTATGAGTTCAGTTTAAGCGCAGGTACCAAAATATGAGGCTCCTACACGTGGAGCAGTTCCCAAGTTGTACAGCATGGGTAGGCTGGAACAGAAATTAAGATTAAAGTGTTACCAGTTTGGGGGACTCTGGCTCTCCGTACTAGAACTTTTGTTTTTTCTAGTGTGGAACAAGAAAATCTATGCATCTGCTTTGCACTTTAGTTGAGCTGGGTCTCCAGGTCTGCGAGGCAGTTTAGGGCCCTTCAGCCGTGGTCTTGGATCGCTTAGTGGAGAGGGTGCTCTGTTACTGATTAAAGCTCTGCAAAAGGAACACAAGATAAAGTATTGGAATTGAGCAGAGGGTCTGGATTTTAAAGTTACTGCATTAAGGCTGCCAAAGAGGTAGCTAACAGAAACTTATTCTTAAAAACTGAAGGGGAAATGTTTGGAACAATGAATAGAACATAACGGGAACATAGGTCACTTGTGATTGATCTTAAAGCACGTGCACGTTTACAAAGGCAATGTAACAGCTTCTGGGTGAGGGTAACGCTTTTCCTAATTTTTCAAACCTGTTTCCAGAGTCTTACAAGTGACTGCAGAAGTGAAAAAACTCTGCCACGGCAGTTTGATCTGAGGCCCAAATTTACTGGGTACTTAAGACTTGCGGAATCTTGCAAATACCAGTGCAACAGATCAATGTCTTAGAATCAAGAACAAACGTGATCTAGTAGTAAGGATATGCGCAAAGTGTTTCCCCACACATGCGTGCACACACTGGCATCACATTACTCTGTGGTCTTTGAAGGTCTAGCAGGAGTAAGTATTTTGCTAGCAGATCTTTAAAACTCTAAGTAATGCACAGAAAAGAGACTGTTTTTACCCATCGCTAACTACTATGACATTATTCAAAATCAACGGTTTGCTTGTTTGTTCATATGCAATATTTGCACCAGTGAAAACTGTAACTAGCATAGATGAAAAATCCTGCAATCAGGTTTAAGATATTTCTAATTTGTCTCTGGATTTATCAAGTCTTAATGAAGCTATTTAGTCACGAGCCTTTTTTAGTGATTCTTGTGAGTGCGTAGATTTAAACTTGGTATTTACACTAAACTTCAAACTGATGCACTTAAGGTAATTGCAGATAGTCATTTGCCTCATTGCGTCTTATCTACTTAGTTATGCAGTGAACCTATAAAAGTGATCTTTTTAATGCTAATGTAGAAACTAGTTAAATGTTCTCTAGCTTTGTAGTCAAATAAGCTTTCATATTTAGCAACCTCCTTGATATGAACTTAAAGAACAAATTACTTTGTACTAATGATCAGATTAGGGTTCGATTACAGTTTCAAACTGTCCTCTTAGTTTTTTTTTTCTTTTTAACCATAAAGGGAATATTTGCTGCATATGAAACTGTTCTAGCTTCCTATTAATTTATGTGGTGCCCTCTAGAGGATATGTGGCTTGTATGATACCATAAAGAGCAAAATTGCTTATTAACTTGTCTCTCTGTGTTCATTATGTCTTTCAATAAGACAGCCATTCTACAGATGCTATAAGCAATAATGCAGCTACTTTGTCTGCTTTAACATTCATGGTTAGATTCACAAACTGTGTGATTGTGTCTTTGGCTATTTGCAAAGATGCTTCCAGTGTCTCTCGTTTAGAAATGCCTGCCAAAAAACCGAAAGATTCCCTTGTCCCCGATGCGTGCTCTTGGTCTGCCTTTCAGCCCTGAGATACCCTTAGAGGTATCTCAGAGGCTGAGATACTTTAACAAGCTCTTTAGACATATCTTGCATCCTTAGAGCATCAAAACTTTCTTTGCTTTAGTTCTACACTTCAGTAAAATTAACTAATTTTACTGCCTTAAGGCCTTTTCCTTAGGGGGAGGGGGCAAAAGTCTTGAATGAGGGAGTGAGCTGGGAAGATGTTGTGGGTGCGAGTGGCATGGCTTTAGCCTGGAATCTGACTCACGGGAGTCACGCGAGTGATTTCCGAGGTGGTGTACGGCACGGAGGGTATCAGGGTGGCCACAGCGGGAATGAACTCTGCTTTGTTAACGAGGATGAGAACTGACTTGAGTAAAGCAAGGACTCAATGTTAGCAATAACATGCTTGGCAAAAATGATATGCAGAGTATAATTCCCCTGCAGGCTTCTGTCTCCTGCTTATGCACTCCTGGGTTAGAAAGTGAAGACTTAATTTGAGGAGCTTAGGTTTATGCCAATACTTCAAGTCCGTTTACAGTAAGTGAAATATGTGACAAGGGGTTTTTTGGGGTGGTGGTGGTTGTTTGTTTTTTTTTTTTTTCTCCTCCAGAGCTGTGGGATGACATCTTAATGTATCAACCTATCCCAGTCTGTCCTCTGTGCTGACTGGCAGCATGTCCGTTTACAAGCACAATATTCCCTTTGAAATCTGTCATTACTGCCATTAATGACCAGTTGTTACGTTAACAGCCCTTGGGCTGTTAACATATCAAACTGGTTGTAAGGTTATTACGTATTTAAACCTCAGGTACGAGTTACGCGAAACGTGCTTTGGTTATGCGTTCTGGGCCGCTTCCTCTCAAAACAAGGGGAAAACAGCCTCGCGTTTGCCTTTCGGGGGGGGGGGGGGGCGGGGGGGCTTTCCGTTCCACCTGCGCGTTTGACTTCTGCGTGCTTGCGAGGTTCCCCTACCCCCCCGCGCGTCCCTCTCGTTTCAGGCGCAACTACGCGCGGTCCCGGCTTCTGGCTTTGCGCGCAAGTGGGCTGCTGCAGATATTTCTGGATGCACGGTAATGCCCCGCCGCACGTTTGAGATTAATATCTGGCCCCTAAAAGTGTAAAATGAAAGCCTGACAATTACATATAACTCAGTTGCATTAAATAATGAGCTTCCTTGGATGTAGCGAAAATATGAAAGTACAGCTGTGCTAAGCTAGTAGCAATGTAGGTCAATCACCCTTTTCACTTAGGTTTTTAACTACGCAAACCCTGCTGAGCGACCAATGACTACAAAGTGCTGTTTCATTCCTATTTAATTTTGGCAGCATTTTACTGAAGAGCAGGCATTCATGCAGCTAAATTATCTTCACCGTTTCTGGTTTTAACTCCAGCTCTATGACACTAAATGTTGGAGTGCCTATCTCTTAGTAAACACGAAGAATATGGTTTCTGATTTCCACCCCCCCCCCCCCAACAAATCCATCTCTTAACATGGAAATTGAATTAGAACTTGTATTACTTTTTGCATCATTTCCCTAGCCAGGCAAACGGGTCATAGGAAAAGGATTAACAAAACTAATAAATTGGGGTGGGGTTTTTGCCCTTAAACACATCTAGAAGCGTATAGGGGATGGGGGAGTGGAAACAGGACATAAAACTCTACTTCTCCCCCCCGCCCCCATCCAAGTTTGGTAATAGTTTAGCAGGTAAATATACTACAGACGTTACGAGTATCACTGAACAGTCTGAAGATGACTAGATAGCCATTGCTTAAGAAAGAGGCAAATTGTGTTTTATTTCTTACGTGTTTGCTAGCGTGAAGACTTGAGACAAACCAAGTTTTTAAAACGCCTGTATTGGACCAGATCTTGTAAATAATGAAAACTGACTACAGAAAGTGAAGTGTTCAACCATGAGCATCGTAAAGATGTTGCCTCTGTAAAATATTTAGCTTGTGAAAGGGTGCAGACTGAAAAGATTTGAGCTTAGGAAGCAGCCTTTTCTTGTCCAACTGCTCTTGCTCTAAAGGCAATTATTATTTAAAAAATTATTATGTAGGAATACTTAGAAATTCAAGACAGACTTAAAATGTCTTGTGGTCTGGTACTGATTAGCAGATCCTGTTTCTTTCTTGTGTAGTGGAAAGTGCACATTAAATATTGCAGACAGCTAAGATATCAGCTCTTTCAAATTCATGT